GTTCACAGATTGGGGTGGGACTTATCGGCGGAACCCATTCAAATGCTCTTTGAAGAAGGGCTTTCTTCGGCTGTGAAAGACGAACTTTCCCGGGCGCCCAGGGCGGAGTCTATTGACCAGCTGACCAAATCAGCGCTGGCCATAGGAGCGCGCCAGGAGGCGAGAGCATTGGAGAGGCGGGAAGGGAAAGGGGAACGTTGGAAGGAGTTCCGCATTCCAGACATTCCAGAGCCAACTTTCCCACCGGCAGAGCCGATGGAAATCGGAACAGCGCGCGCGCGCAGTTTCAAAGCCCAGTGAGGGGGCAAAGAAGGAGGGAAAAGGCGCCCGGAAATGCTATCTCTGCCAACAGCCAGGTCACTTTGCCAGAGTCTGCCCCCAGAGGAAGGAATGGCAAGGGATGGTAGGAGCTGTGGATGGAAGAGAGGAAAATATACCGGAGCAAGTAAAAGCCAACGCCTGGCTGCCACTGTCAGGGCACAGCAGCCAGGCCAAAGAGCAGTGAGAGTGCCCACGCCAGAACCTCCTAAACCCGCCCTAGTGATAGAAGTGACGCTAGAGCTGCCAAACGGACACCCTCTAAAGATAAAGGCGCTGTTGGACTCAGGCAGCTCCTGCAATTTCATGAGCAAGGAGTTTGCAGCTGAACACCAGATACAGACAATCCCTTTAAGCAGCCCCTGCAGGTGACCACGATCGATGGCAGGGAGCTGTTGGGTGGAGAAGTCAGCTTGCAAACCGTCCCAATGATAATGAAGGTAGCAAGGCACACCGAACTGATAGCTTTTAATGTGGCCACCTTGGGAGGAGCTCCCATTATATTGGGGATGAGCTGGCTAGCGTTACATGATCCGCTGGTGGGCTGGCATCAGAGAGTGGTTTCTTTTGGTTCAGCACATTGCTTAGAACACTGCAAGGAGGGAAAGGGTTTGGCAGGGGTCCAAGCCACCCTAGCAGGGACTGAAGTAACAGAGAACGTGAAGGTACCACGACAATATGCAGATCTCCGTGACGTCTTCAGCGAAAGGAAGCTGACCAACTACCCCGCATAGACCCTTTGACTGTCAAATCAACTTACTCCCTGGAGCACAGCTCCCTGTAGGCAAGCTGTACGCCATGTCAGACAGAGAGATGCAGGAGTTAAGAGAGTTCATTGACAAGAACCTGAAGAGAGGGTTCATCAGAGAGTCCAGGGCGGTGGGGGCAGCCCAGTGTTTTTGTGGATAAGAAAAACACGAACAAGCCGAGGCTGGTGTGTGACTTCAGGGCCTTAAATGCAGTGTCAGAACCAGTAGCCTTCCCTATGCCCAGGATTGACGACATTTTGACAAGGGTGCGGAAGGGAAAGATTTTCACAAAGCTGGACCTAAGGGGGGCGTACAACCTGGTACGAATAAGGAAGGGGGATGAATGGAAAACCACTATGTTCACCCCTTTAGGGGCATTTGAATATTTGGTTATGCCCTTCGGCCTACAAGCAGGCTCCGCAACATTTCAATCGTTTATGAACCACGTCCTGGGGCCTTTGCTTTACAAGAATTGTGTGGCCTTTTTAGACGACGTGTTGGTGTATTCTGAGAATGAGGAGCAGCATGTGAGAGACGTCAGAGAAGTGTTGAGCAGGCTGCAAGCCAACCAGCTGTGGGTGAAACTGGAGAAGTGTCAGTTTCATACCAAGGAGGTGGAATTCCTGGGGTATCGCCTGTCAGACAAGGGATTGGCCATGGATCCCGGCAAGGTCCAGGCGGTGCTGGAATGGAAAACACCCAAAACAAAGAAGGATGTGCAGAGGTTCCTAGGATTTGGGAACTTCTATCGTAAGTTCATCCGAAACTTTGCCCACCTGACGGCGCCCATTACGGACTGTCTCAGCAGTAAGAAGAAGTTCGTGTGGACTGAGGAGGCGGAGCGAGCATTTGAGGAACTAAAAGGGCCTTCGCCTCGGAACAACAACTCCTGCATGTGGATTTACAAAAACCGATGAGAGTGGAAACTGACGCATCAGACAGAGCGATTGGGGCGGTGCTTCTGCAGCCAGGCAAGAAGGGGTCAGAGTGGAGACCGTGTGCCTTTCTTTCGCGAAAGCTGAACAAATCCGAGAGGAACTACACGGTGTATGACCGAGAACTACTAGCCATTCATGAGGCGTTCCGGAGATGGAGGCACCTGCTAATTGGCGCACAACATAAGGTGCAAGTGTGCACTGACCACAAGAACCTAGAGTATTGGAGGACGGCACGAGTGCTCAACCAACGGCAAGTGAGATGGGCCCAGGAGTTCTCCAAATTTAACTTTGAGATTAGTTACGTGCCAGGCCCAGAGAACATTAGGGCGGACGCTCTCTCACGCAAACCTGAATATTTGGAGGGAGGGGCACCGAAGAGAGACATGTCATTCCAGAAGACTGCTGGGTGTGTGGGGCGGCATTGGTGGGACAAAGAGAACTGGTAGAGGAAACAGAGAATGATGAATACGCCCAGAATAAGCTCAGAGGTCTTAGGGGTGATGGAGAGGAACCAGGGGTTTCGAGGAAAGAAATGGAGCTTTGTATTACAAAGGGGCACTGTATATCCCTGAAGGAGAGTTAAGGGGAGGGTACTCAAGCAGTTGCACGACAGCCCTACGGCGGGGCATTTTGGACAACACAAAACCATGTGGTTGGTCACCAGGGAATTTTGGTGGCCTAAGGTGAGGGAAGATGTACGTGAGTATGTAAGAGGGTGCGAGCAGTGCCAGCGAGCCAAAGGGGAAAGGCGGGCGCCGGCGGGGCTATTAGAACCCTTACCAACCCCAGAACGACCTTGGGAGGCAGTGTCGATAGATTTTATGACTGATCTGCCGAAGTCCAAAGGGAAAACAGCCATCATGGTGGTGGTAGACCTACTAACAAAGATGTGCCACTTTGTAGCTTGCTCGCATGCAGTCACGGCGGAAGAGACAGCGAAGTTATTTGTAGAAAACATTTTTAGGTTGCACGGAGTGCCATTGAGGGTGGTCTCAGACCGAGGAAAACAATTTACTTCCAGGTTCTGGAGGAAGCTCATGAGCTTACTGCAGGTGGAGGTCAATTTTTCGACTGCCCGGCACCCTGAAACCAACGGGCAGGCGGAAAGAGCAAACGGTGTCCTCCAGCAATACCTGAGGTGTTATGTCAATGACAGAGAGAATGACTGGGTAGAAAAGTTGGCGCTGGCGGAATTTGCCTACAACAATGCCGAGAATGTGTCCACAGGGATGAGCCCCTTCTTGGCTAATTATGGGTGTCATCCCAGGGCTTTCCCAGGGGGAGAGGGGGAGAGATGGAGCGTTCCGGCAGCCGAGCATTTTGTGGAAGAAATGGAAGCAATCCATCGTCAGCTCCAACTCAACTTAGAAAGGGCGAAGGAAGAATACAAGAGGCAGGCAGACAAGAACCGAAGGGAAGGTGAAACCATAAGGGTGGGAGATAGGGTGTGGCTGTCAACCCAAGGGTTGCCGTTCAAAGGAGGTTGTAAGAAATTAAGACCCAGGAGGTTGGGTCCCTTTGAGGTCATTCAACAGGTCAACCCAGTGGCTTTCAGGCTCCGGTTACCCAACCACATGAAACTGCACCCAGTATTTCACAGGTCGTTACTGTCACCGTACGAAGGGGGACGAGAAGGGCTGGCCACTCGGGGACCGGTCGTAGAAGAAAGAGAATGCAGCAGCCATGTGGCAGAAATCCTCGACGCCAGGTGGAAGGGGGATCAGGTGGAGTATTTGGTAGCGTGGGAAGGAGAACCGGAGTCAGAAAACACTTGGGTAATGGCTGAAGATATCAATGACGAGGTATTGATAGAAACGTTCCATCAAAGGTTCCCAAGGAAACCTCAGCCTGTGGAGAGGTTCCGGAGGGAATACTTTGGGACCACTGATGAAGGGGAGGAGTTGGAAGGATTCCCGGACTCGGAAGGGGAAGGGAGATGGACTCTGAGGAGGAGGTGTACTTCGAGACCAGGAACCGCAACAGGTTGAGAGAAGTGTTCGAGACATCGGAAGATGAAGGAAGTTCATTCCGGGTTTTGCCTCCTCACCGCCCGTAGAGGAGGGGGCGAGAGGGGGTGAAGGGGGCCCTGGAGGGGAGGTGGATGTCAGGGAACTGCCATCGGACGGAAGGGAGGTGAAAGGGCTCACACAGGTTGGGAGAGACGCAGCAGCTGAAGAGGGAACCAACAGGGAGGTGAAAGGGCTCACACAGGTTGGGAGAGACGCAGCAGCTGAAGAGGGAACCAGCAGGGGAGAGGAGCTGAGCTGGAGGGATGGCTCAGAGACACTTCCAGCGAAAACAGTGGGGAGGTTTCAGGACCTCCTGTAAGAACACCCACTCCTCGCCGGAAACTGTCACGCAGAGATTCCAGAAGACGTGTTTCCGTTAAGGAGCTTTTATGTTGGAAGCGATTACGAAAGCAACCACTGTCGGAATCTGCTAGTGACTAGAGTAGCCATGTCTGAGGGGCTCCGTCACAGACAGAGGTTTGTGGACTTGAACAAACTCTGAGGGGATACGATTTTACGCACAAGCAGCTCATCATCCCATCACATCAGCACTTCTCCATCACCCAAAATGAGGAAATACTTCACCACAAAAGGAACAAGAGAGGACTCATCTTTCCGTTAAACAAAAATGTCGGAATAATTGCTATAATTTAAAAAGAAATACACTATGTCTTATCATAGTGAGGAAGATTGTTACCAGGTGGCAGGGCTGGATTTAGATGAAGAGAGGCCCTAGGCTACTCCTCTTGTGGGGCCCCTCCCCATCCCCCACCCTCAGAAAGCCTTTCCTCCTCCCAGGAAGGGAAGGGGTTGTGATCCGGAGACGATTCCTGCGTCATGCAGTGGGCGCTCCGCCCCCTGCTTCAACTCCAGGGCTGGCGTGCCACGCCCCTCCCCGGTTGGGCACCCAATAGGGAAGCTTGGCGGGGGCGGGGCTTGCTGCTCAAACGCAGCCGCGCCAGCCATCCCCACCATTGCACACACATTTTCTTTGAGTCAGGAGTCATCGCAGGGAAGAGCTCAGCCACGAGGTTTGGAGTCGGGGGTGTTTGTGGAGGCTGTCTGGTTCCTGGCTTGCCTTTTTAAATTTAGGAGGCTTGCGTGCGCTCATTGCTTTACTGCTTTTAAAAACCTGGGCACCCAAGTTTGCCTTGCTGTCTTGCTGTGCCCTCTTTTCTGTGTAAAAACCCACATTTAACCTTTTATTTTCCCCCACTCCTGGTGCTGGATTTGTTTGGGCGGTTTAAGTGCGAATTACCTTTCTTAAGCCGCAGCTTGTTCCCTTGCCCAGCACGTGGTCTCTCCACCCCCAGTGAGGTCTGAGTGTGAGTGCCGTCTTTCTAGCTCCCTCGTCTCCTCACTTTCCTTCCCCTGCCTCTGCCTTGGTGGCTGTGCGTTTTATTTTAATTTTGGCCAGGGTGCCTGTATGTTTTTCCTCTCTATTGCCCTTGCCCGTCCGATTGCCTGGCTGGTCTGGGTGACTGAGTGGGTTTGCCTTACATTTTAATTTGTTGGCCAGGGTGCTTGTATGCTTTTCCCCTCCATTGCCCTTGCCTGTTCCTCTCTAATTTTAAGTCGTGTGCATGTGTGCTGGCAGCGTGTGTTTGTGCCTGCCGTTTGTTGATTTATTACTCTTTTTAGCGTGGGTTTAATTTACCCTGCCATCCCTTCCATTGGTACCACTTAAATTGGGAGCCCCCTGTGAAATTTTAAAGGATGCCGGGGCTTAGAATAGACTGTGCGCTTAAACCTCACCCCTCTTACTTTATCTAAGCCATCCCCCCTCTTCGCTTGGCGTTTGGGGGAAGAAATAAGGCAGGGCTTGGGGCGGACAATTCAGGGTTTCTGATCAGGGAACCATTCCTCAGCATTGCACATTTATACGTTTAGAACCTTTGAAGGTGTGCCTTTGCCTGGTTCTTGTCATTGGCTTCTCTTGCCAGTACAGTGGTACCTCGCAAGACGAATGCCTCGCAAGACAAAAAACTCGCTAGGCGAAAGGGTTTTTTGTTTTTTGAGCTGCTTCGCAAGACGATTTTCCCTATGGGCTTGCTTCGCAAGACGGAAACGTCTTGCAAGTTTGTTTCCTTTTTCTTAACACCGTTAATACAGTTGCGACTTGACTTCGAGGAGCAACTCATAGAGCGTTGTGTGGTAGCCTTTTTTGAGGTTTTTAAAGACTTTGGTGATTTTTGAAGCTTTCCCAAAACTTTCCCCACACCGTGCTTCGCAAGACGAAAAAAATCGCAAGACGACAAAACTCGCGGAACGAATTAATTTCGTCTTGCGAGGCACCACTGTACAGGGTCCCTAAAGAAAACCGCTTTTAAACAACAACAGCAAAAAGGTTGCGGCTTATAGAACCTTACTGAAAAGTCCAGGCTAACCCACGGTTTATATTTCCACTTCATTTTGGCTCACTGTAAAGGACAGCTATTTTCCTTTTCTTCTAAACTTTTCCTTGCCCGGCGTGTTCATTTTACCCCCTCCTCCCTCCCAGCTCCCCTCCATGCTTTCCTTCTCCTCCCTCCACCCCTCCTCCCTCCCAACACCCCCCCCCACTCTTTCAGAGTTCCCTTTGCTTCTTCTTTTTTTTAAAAAAAATATTTATTCAAATTTTAAGATTACAGAAAAAGAAAAAAGTAAAAAAAGAAAAACAAATCACATACATCCTACAAGAAAAACACACAATACAAAGAAAAATACACAAGACAGAAAATCACAGTAAAAAAATAACAAAAGAAAAATTCAACTTAAACCATTAAAACCGTTTTCCCATTTACTTATTTCCGTGACTTCCTCTCACTTCTCTGCTTTGTATTCTAATTCAAATCGTATCTCCAGCAAATCCTTCTAACCTTCTTTTCATTTGCTTATTTTAACATTCAAAAATATTTAATTCTCCTCTATCTTTTATTTTACACTTCATATTTACTTATTCCATTATACTCTGTCTGCCAATACTCTGTCTACTCGTTGGGAAGCCCAATACCAGCGAAGGTGCCTCCCTTCTGGAGGCCTTTTCAGCTTTGGCCCAGGAGCTGGGAGTTCCCCTCACGGCAGATAAGACGGACCCTCAATGCATCTTACTAACCTGGGTATAGAGCTTGACACAGCAGCTCATTCTGCCTGCCTGCCAGAGGGGAAAATAGTTGCCCTTAAGGAAACAATTCATCAAACCCTTCCCAAAATAATAATAATAATAATAATAATAATAATAATAATAAAGTCGCTCTTAGACAGGTCCAGTCCTTGCTAGATCATTTCAACTTCACATTTAGAGTAGTTTCATCAGGCCGCGCATTTTGCTCCCGCTTAGCCAGGCTTTCAGCGGGCCTCAAGCATCCGCACCATAGAGTAAGACTCCCCAAGTCAGTCAAGGCAGATTTTGAGATGTGGATCAGATTTCTGGAGCACTACAACGGAGTCTCCCTATGGCAGGAAATCCTTAATTTGGCCTCTGATTTCCAAGTCCACTCCAATGCGGCAGGGTCCCTGGGCTTTGGACTGTTCGTTAAGGGATGTTGGTGCGCGCAACAATGGCCAGCAGAGTGGCAAGGGGAGGCCGTCATGCGTGATCTCACTTTTCTGGAGTTTTTTCTCATAGTTGTGGCGGTTCGCATATGGACCGAGGAGTTCCGGAATCGCTGGGTGTGCTTCAGAACTGATAACCAGGCCGTGGTTAACATACTGGCTAGCAGTCATTGCGTTCTGAGAGGGGTCTTGCCTACTTCAATCATTTGTGCTCCGATGCCTTGCTTCCGGTCGTTAGCACCTTGGGCTCATCTGCTGCCAGAACCCTTTCCGGATCACCTACGGAACCTTGGAGACGCGAAGTGATCAAGGGAGTATTAGCATCTGTGGCACCCTCTACCCTCAGGTCTTATAAGAAAGTATGGTGCGACTTCACAGGTTTCAGGTCCAAAGTATCGTCCCTTTCCCCTATCGTATGAAACTTAGGTCAATTTGCTGGTCCAGGTTTGAGGCCCGGCTGTTCTCTGCAGCATACGCTATAGCCTTCTTTGGTGCCTTGTGGGTTGGCGTGGTGGTAGCAGAAGCTACCTCAAGTGGAACAACACGCAGCCTCCTCCTGGAGGACGTGCAGGTGTCCAGTTCAGGCGTGATGGTGCGGGTGCATCAGTCTAAGATGGACCAGGGCGGTAAGGGCACCGTAATACAACTCACGGCCTCCGGTCAGAAGGGCCCATGCCCAGTAAAGGACACCAGGCGATACCTTTACCTCAGACCTCCCGGCCTTGGCCCGCTCTTCATTCATGAGGATGGATCCCGATTGATGAGGCACCAGTTCACCAGGGTACTTTGCAAAGCGATAGATGCCTGCGCTTTCCCTTCCAAAAGACTACGCGGCACATTCATTTAGGATTGGTGTGGCCACAATGGCCTTATGGGCCTTCCGGCAAACAGGATCAAGGAGATGGGCCGCTGGAAATCTAATGCCTACAAAAGTATTCTGAGAACGCTCCGCTTACCTGTATTTTCTTTCTTTATTCTTAGCTGTCTTCGGTAGTCCAGTGTGGATTTGCGGCCACAGTATCGTGCATTGGGCCCGCCTCCAGTCAGCAAGTTCCGGCTTCATGCCTAATCTGGGGCTACCAACGTGGGTGCGAGTTTCCTGGTTGTCGAGAAGGGGCATGCGCTGGCAAGAACTCATGCCACTGCTGAAGGCAAAAGCTGCACTGTTGGGCCCCCCTAACATTCTAATCATTCAGCTGGGTGAGAGCGACCTGGCTAGCAGGAAGAGTGTGGACTTGCTGTGGAACATGAGAAAGGTCTTGGATGAGTTGGCTGCCTTATTTCCCAGAACAACCCTGTTCTGGTCCTCTCTCTTGAAGAGAAAGGTTTGGCGCGGTGCGCATAACATTATGGCCTTTGAGAAATCCAGGAAACTCTTGAATCGTGCGGTAGCGCGCAAAGTGCGTTTTATGAATGGCCTAGTTATATCTCATGATGATATCCAGATTGGCGACCAGACCCTATTCCGGGATGACGGCGTTCACCTTTCAGATTCCGGAAACAACATATGGCTGGCTAACATATCCAATAGTCTTAGGGATTGGTTGCAGCTGTGAAGGCATTGGCGGCGAGCCTTTTGGCTCAGGTGGCAGTTAGGCATTGGAATGTGTTGTTGGTGTTTTGGGGGACAAGGTGTGGCCATCGCCTTCCCCGACAATTTTGGGTATTCCGCTAAAGGAATCCGGCGGTCGTGGATCCTGTCCGATGCCCGTGTGGCGGGGGGCCATGGCACGACCCTCGGTGACATCAGGAAGAGAGCCTATAGTTGGATTAGCATCAACAGGCTTCCCTACTGGTGGTTAACCCCTCCTCAGACTCACCCCTCTACGAGTGGGTGGAGTCTAATGTTCCGTGGTCCAATGCCTAAGCCAATACCTTCTCACATGCTGTAATCAATAAAGTTGTGGCCTTTACCTTACCCATTAACCTTACATTCTGTGTCCACGTGTCTTTATTCCCCAGCGGGGATCGGGTCCTCGAATCACAACTAGAACTAGTTACAGTGGTACCTTGGGATTCGAACGGGATCCGTTCCAGAGCCCCATTCACATCCCAAGCGGAAAGCAAGATGCAACAGCACGTGTGCGCGGGTCACGTTTCGCCGCTTCCACGCATGCGCGTGACGTCATTTTGAGCGTCTGCGCATGCGCGAGCAGCAAAACCCGGAAGTAGCGCGCTCCATTACTTCTGGGTTGCCACGGAGCACAACTCGAACACGCTTAACTCGAAGCACATTCAACTCGAGGTATGACTGTACTAACAATAGCTTTATTTGCTATGACTGTTTTAGCAAACTCTTCAGCATACCTTTTGGGTGGTTTACCCAAAGTTTACCCTCTCTGCAGGGGCAGGGACTCAATTGTGCCATGTAGAATTCATCCCTGACTAACCTAGACTTTTGTTTTAGTTTATTATGCCAAATTTGTTTCATGTGTGGTAATGGGAGGAAATGCCACAAACATTTATGGAGCACACTATGTTTCACAGGACCCAGTGCACTTTTAGTACAGCTCAGGAAGCCTTCATGGAGGCATAATGCCTTCCCTAAATGTATTTGTTCTCTCTAAATAAGCAATAGTGTCTCAGGACTTTAACCATGGGGTGATCTCCTAAGCACCCTCATTTAAATTAATGGGTATATTCTGAGTATGGCTTAGATATCACCGATAATTTGTGTGCAGTGAGATTCCCTCCTTTAATTTTTTTTTTTTATACGTGGATATATTATGTTAAAAAAAAATAATCATACCATTCTAAATGAAGTTAAACACTTCTGACCAATCCCAAGCTATTTTAAAGCAGTACAAAAATACTATGAGGAAAAATGAAAATGTTTTTGACATGTATTTCTTGGAGATTATGGTCCTGAATGATCAGTGCCAGCCTTTCCCAACTTGACTCTCCCTCCCAGATGTTTTGTGCTGGCTGGGGCTGATGGGAGCTGTAGTCCAAGACACCTGGAGGGCGCTAGGTTGGGGAGACTGGCTTGTGCCATTTAAACAGCACCATATATGGTAGCCAAGCCTGCTCCTTTTGTTCTTCCACAGAAAGCACAGCTCGATCAAGCAGTAAACTACCATACGGAGTCCTGCTGCTGCTGCTGCTCTCGATGTTTCCTGCCTTTGTTCTGGAAAATGACAAGCCCGTATTGTTTTTCAGCTGAGGAAAGAGCAGCACTGCACACACCTTGAGCCAAGCTGCTAGCATTAATCACACCAATCACATTACCCCAAACCCGTGTGGATAAAGTGACACCGCCCTGCAGCGAGAGCTGCAAAAAGCGGCAGGCCCAACCAATTTGGCTAAGCCTTGCACAATGGCACAAATGTCCTTCCTTCAGCGAAAAAACGAAGGTTGAAAATAAGTCTGCCTTCCAGAGGGGGGCCCTGCTGCAGCACTTTGCTGCCGGCATGTGACACAAGCGGGAGTACATTAAGAGCAGCACTTGATTACAGCAGTGTCAAGCTGCGCTCAAAGGCTCAGTTCTTTCAGCATTTGCTGTGGCGGTAATGACCGTTGCTCGTGTCTCCGAGAGGCATGCGGCGGTCAACGAGGTCTTCTGTAACGCTTCCAGGTAGTGCCCATCCTAAATTACCGCACTTGCTAATTAAGTGGCTGGGCACTGTTATTCTGGCTATATCCCAGGTTCCCCTCAAGACCCTAGTTATCTATTAACTTTGCACTGTGTCTGGTTTGTACCAGTTCTTCTGGCAGCAACCAGCCTGAATGGCAAAGTCGTCACTTGATGCCGTGGCCATTTTAAAACCCTGACTTACTGGGGGAAGGGCTGTGGCTCAGGGGCACAGCACCTGCGTGCTTTGCAGGCCCAGGGTCCCAAGTTCAAGCCTGACATCTCCAGGTAGGGCTGGGAGCCTTTTCTGTCTGAAATCCTGGAGAGTTTCTGCCAGTCACTGCTAGACAGACCAAAACAGCCTGACTCTCTGCATAAGGAAGCACCCTGTGTTCCTTTGTTTTGTGCTTTAAATAAATAGTGTTTATGCAGCCCAATATACATTTTAACATCAGATATACTATTATGAAAGGGGAGGGGGGAGAGAGACCTCCCAACCCAATAAATTAATGAATGTCAGACTTTAGCTAATATTTGGGATATTGAATGAAGGGGGGAAATATAGGCTGCAGTAGTTCTCTTGAACTCTGCCAAAGGAAATTCCTGGGTTTAGCCTATGCAAACTAGGCTAGCTGGGCTGGTTGAATGTAGAACATTATGAATCAATGGCCAAGCATTTGCACATCAAAGAAGATGTTCAGGTCTGTGCAAAAACAGAGGCTGCCAAGAAACCATGCCTACCCTTGTGGATGGCAGGATCCAGAATCAATCTAGATTGAAAGGATGAGTTCAAATGATTCCAAATTGAGAAAAAAAGTGTGTGTGGTTTTTTTAATTCTACAAGTGGGCTAGGGTGTAAACAGCCTGAATTCTTACTGAATTCTGGAGCATTTAAAGGATTGTGGATTTGGACAGGGAAATTCTGTTCAATTATATGGGCTACAAACTCCCCCACCCTTTAAATGATGGTTTGTTTGTGGCTTTGTAGGTAACTCTCCTTCAGTGCAATAGGCAATAATGACAACAATATTTCTTCAGGTCAATTACAGTGGCTTGGGCCACATCTGAAGTTGAACTAGGCAATGACTACAGTATACTTAGCCGAGTGGTCAGTTACTTCACCACATAATGCCACATAAAAGAACTTTTAATGTTGAAAGCATGGATGGGGATGAGGAAGTTGAACTGAAGCAACTTTGCAAAAACAGACATTCTGAAGTAAAGATGTGCAGCCTTCCAAAATAAAGGCTGCTTTTCCCAATTGTTTTCTTCTCCCCTAACTCAGGAGCCAAGAGGGCAAAACCAAAACAACATAAAATAAAATAAAATACCCATAACGATGTTAAAACCTCAGGTTATTCTTGCTTGTCAATGCAAGGTGATTTCAACAAAACCAAAGAGCTTCACAAGGAACTACTTGAAGTTTGCTCCTTGTCACACCAGCCAACCAATTAAATTCATTTCAGGGACCATTTAGAGTGAGATGGAGGATTCAATTAGAGTGTTCTGGCCACGATTCAGTGTTCTCCATTTTCTCACAGAAAAGAGGGGTCCAAAGAATAATGGGCTGCTGCAGCCATCTTAAGTGAAGGGGAGATATGTAAGAGTCAACAAAAACGAAACAAAGGAGAGCAGCACCAGCTTCCAAAATCAACAAACCAAGTAAGCAAAAAAGGTGCGAAAACTATTTATTGAAGAACTTCAAAATATTTGTTCTGCCTGATGTGCTTCGCATAAATGTAGTCAGCAGAGCACATTCCTCATGCAGTAGATATGTGTCAGGGAACTGCCATCGGAAGGAAGGGAGGTGAAAGGACTCAGACAGGTTGGAAGAGACTCAGCAGCTGAAGAGGGAACCAGCAAGGGGAGAGAAGCTGAACTGAGGGAGGTGAAAGGGCTCAGACAGGTTGGAAGAGACTCAGCAGCTGAAGAGGAAACCAGCAGGGGAGAGAAGCTGAACTGAGGGAAAGGGAGCTGGGGGATGGCTCAGAGATACTTCCAGCGAAAACAGTGGTGAGGTTTCCGGACCTCCTGTAGGGACACCCACTCCTCGCCGGAAACTGTCACGCAGAGAGTCCAGAAGACGTGTTTCCGTTAAGGAGCTTTTATGTTGGAAGCGATTACGAAAGCAACCACTGTCGGAATCTTCTAGTGACTAGAGGAGCCATGTCAGAGGGGCTCCGTCACAGACAGAGGTTTGTGGACTTGAACAAACACTGAGGGAATACGATTTTACGCACAAGCAGCTCATCTTCCCATCACAGCATTCCGACAGTCTCTGAACGCAGCTTGTGCAGGAGAAGGCATAATGAGCAACCCAGCAGGAACCGGAGAAGCAGGGGCTGGAGCGGGTCCAAGCCTGGAAGAAAGGTACCGGGTGTTGGAGGTCCAGCTGGCGCTGCAGACGGCGAGGCTGGAGGAGAGGAGGGCTCAAGATGCAGACAAAGGGAGAAAGCCACCCAGCTCGCCAGAAAGGTACCAGGATTGGTGCAGAAATTTGGGGGGGAGCCCAAAGACTATCATAGCTTTCGGACAGAAATGCAATATGCCCTCAATCTGCAGTTTGATGATTTCCCTGATGAGGAATCACGAGTGGCTTTTGTGATTGGGCATCTTGAAAAGGGGGCGAGAGACTGGGTTAGACCCCTGATGGCAGCGCATAGTGACGTCCTAAAGGACACGATGAAGTTCTTTCGCGCCATGGATCTGATGTTTTCCAGCGATATTGAAAAGGGAGTGGTGCGCAGACAGTTAATGGCTTGCAAACAGGGGAGCCGATCTGTACGTGAGTACTGGACTGAGTTCACCATGCTGATACACAGATTGGGGTGGGACTTATCGGCGGAACCCATTCAAATGCTCTTTGAAGAAGGGCTTTCTTCGGCTGTGAAAGATGAACTTTCCCGGGCGCCCAGGGCGGAGTCTATGGACCAGCTGACCAAATCAGCGCTGGCCATAGGAGCGCGCCAGGAGGCGAGAGCATTGGAGAGGCGGGAAGGGAAAGGGGAACGTTGGAAGGAGTTCCGCATTCCAGACATTCCAGAGCCAACTTTCCCGCCGGCAGAGCCGATGGAAATCGGAACAGCAGCGCGCGCGCAGTTTCAAAGCCCAGTGAGGGGGGAAAAAAGGAGGGAAAAGGCGCCCGGAAATGCTATCTCTGCCAACAGCCAGGGCACTTTGCCAGAGTCTGCCCCCAGAGGAAGGAATGGCAAGGGATGGTGGGAGCTGTGGAGGGAAGAGAGGAAAAATACCGGAGCAACTAAAAGCCAACGCCTGGCTGCCATTGTCGGGGCACAGCAGCCAGGCCAAAGAGCAGTGAAAGTGCCCACGCCAGAACCTCCTAAACCCGCCCTAGTGATAGAAGTGACACTAGAGCTGCCAAACGGACACCCTCTAAAGATAAAGGCGCTGTTGGACTCAGGCAGCTCCTGCAATTTCATGAGCAAAGAGTTTGCAGCTGAACACCAGATACAGACGCTACCTTTAAGCAACCCCCTGCAGGTAACCACGATCGATGGCAGGGAGCTGTTGGGAGGAGAAGTCAGCTTGCAGACCGTCCCAATGATAATGAAGGTGGCAAGGCACACCGAACTAATAGCTTTTAATGTGGCCACCTTGGGAGGAGCTCCCATTATATTGGGGATGAGCTGGCTAGCGTTACATGATCCGCTGGTGGGCTGGCATCAAAGAGTGGTTTCTTTTGGGTCAGCACATTGCTTAGAACACTGCAAAGAGGGAAAGGTTTTGGCAGGGGCCCAAGCCACCCTAGCAGGGACTGAAGTAACGGAGAACGTGAAGGTACCACGACAATACGCAGATCTCCGCGACGTCTTCAGCGAAAGGGAAGCTGACCAACTACCACCGCATAGAGCCTTTGACTGTCAAATCAATTTGCTCCCTGGGGCACAGCTCCCTGTGGGCAAGCTGTACGCCATGTCAGACAGAGAGATGCAGGAGCTAAGAGAGTTCATTGACAAGAACCTGAAGAGAGGGTTCATCAGAGAGTCCAGGGCGGTGGGGGCAGCCCAGTGTTTTTGTGGACAAAAAACACGAACAAGCCGAGACTGGTGTGTGACTTCAGGGCCTTAAATGCAGTGTCAGAACCAGTGGCCTTCCCGATGCCCAGGATTGACGACATTTTGACAAGGGTGCGGAAGGGAAAGATTTTCACCAAGCTGGATCTAAGGGGGGCGTACAACCTGATACGAATAAGGAAGGGGGATGAATGGAAAACCACCATGTTCACCCCTTTAGGGGCATTTGAATACTTAGTTATGCCCTTCGGTCTACAAGCAGGCTCCGCAACATTTCAATCGTTTATGAACCACGTCCTGGGGCCGTTGCTTTACAAGAATTGTGTGGCCTTCTTAGACGACGTGTTGGTGTATTCTGAGAATGAGGAGCAGCATGTGAGAGACGTCAGAGAAGTGTTGAGCAGGCTGCAAGCCAACCAGCTGTGGGTGAAACTGGAGAAGTGTCAGTTTCATACCAAGGAGGTGGAATTCCTGGGGTATCGCCTGTCTGACAAGGGGTTGGCCATGGATCCCGGCAAGGTCCAGGCGGTACTGGAATGGAAAACACCCAAAACAAGGAAGGATGTGCAGAGGTTTTTAGGATTTGGGAACTTCTATCGTAAGTTCATCCCAAACTTTGCCCACCTGACGGCGCCCATTACGGACTGTCTCAGCAGTAAGAAGAAGTTCGTTTGGACGGAGGAGGCGGAGCAAGCATTTGAGGAACTAAAAGGGCCTTCGCCTCAGAACAACAGCTCCTGCATGTGGATTTACAAAACCGATGAGAGTGGAAACTGACGCATAATACATAGCGGTTTGTGCGGTGCTTCTCCAGCCAGGTAAGGAGGAGTCAGATTGTAGACCGAGTGCTTAATTTTCGCGAAAGATCAACAAATCAGAGAGGAACTACACGGTGTATGACCGAGAACTACTAGCCATTCATGAGGCGTTCCGGAGATGGAGGCACCTGCTAATTGGCGCACAACATAAGGTGCAAGTGTGCACTGACCACAAGAACCTAGAGTATTGGAGGACGGCACGAGTGCTCAACCAACGGCAAGTGAGGTGGGCCCAGGAATTCTCCAAATTTAACTTTGAGATTTGTTACGTGCCAGGCCCAGAGAACATTAGGGCGGACGCTCTCTCACGCAAACCTGAATATTTGGAGGGGAGGGAGCACCCGAAGAGAGACATGTCATTCCAGAGGACCGCTGGGTGTGTGGGGCGGCATTGGTGGGACAAAGAGAACTGGTAGAAGAAACAGAGAATGATGAATACGCCCAGAATAAGCTCAGAGGTCTTAGGGATGAGGGAGAGGAATCAAGGGGTTTCGAGGAAAGAAATGGAGCTTTGTATTACAAAGGGGCACTGTATATCCCTGAAGGAGACTTAAGGGGAGGGTACTCAAGCAGTTGCATGACAGCCCCACGGCAGGGCATTTTGGGCAACACAAAACCATGTGGTTGGTCACCAGGGAATTTTGGTGGCCTAAGGTGAGGGAGGATGTACGTGAGTATGTAAGAGGGTGCGAGCAGTGCCAGCGAGCCAAAGGGGAAAGGCGGGCGCCGGCGGGGCTATTAGAACCCTTACCAACACCAGAACGACCTTGGGAGGCAGTGTCGATAGATTTTATGACTGATCTGCCGAAGTCCAAAGGGAAAACAGCCATCATGGTGGTGGTAGACCTACTAACAAAGATGTGCCACTTTGTAGCTTGCTCGCATGCAGTCACGGCGGAAGAGACAGCGAAGTTATTTGTAGAACACATTTTTAGGTTGCACGGGGTGCCATTGAGGGTGGTCTCAGACCGAGGAAAACAATTTACTTCCAGGTTCTGGAGGAAGCTCATGAGCTTACTGCAGGTGGAGGTCAACTTTCGACTGCCCGGCACCCTGAAACCAACGGGCAGGCGGAAAGAGCAAACGGTGTCCTCCAGCAATACCTGAGGTGTTATGTCAATGACAGAGAGAATGACTGGGTAGAAAAGTTGGCGCTGGCGGAATTTGCCTACAACAATGCCGAGAATGTGTCCACAGGGATGAGCCCCTTCTTGGCTAATTATGGGTGTCATCCCAGGGCTTTCCCAGGGGAGAAGGGGAGAGATGGAGCGTACCGGCAGCCGAGCATTTTGTAGAAGAAATGGAAGCAATCCACCGTCAGCTCCAACTCAACTTAGAAAGGGCGAAGGAAGAATACAAGAGGCAGGCAGACAAGAACCGAAGGGAAGGTGAAACCATAAGGGTTGGAGATAGGGTGTGGCTGTCAACCCGAGGGTTGCCGCTCAAAGGAGGTTGTAAGAAATTAAGACCCAGGAGGTTGGGTCCCTTTGAGGTCATTCAACAGGTCAACCCAGTGGCTTTCAGGCTCCGGTTACCCAACCACATGAAACTGCACCCAGTATTTCACAGGTCGTTACTGTCACCGTACGAGGGGGGACGAGAAGGGATGGCCACTGGGACCGGTCATAGAAGAAAGAGAATGCAGCAGTCATGTGGCAGAAATCCTTGATGCCAGGTGGAAGGGGAATCAGGTGGAGTATTTGGTAGTGTGGGAAGGAGAACCGGAGTCAGAAAACACGTGGGTAATGGCCGAAGATATCAATGACGAGGTATTGATAGAAACGTTCCATCAAAGGTTCCCGAGGAAACCTCAGCCTGTGGAGAGGTTCCGGAGGGAATACTTTGGGACCACTGAGGAGGAGGAGGAGTTGGAAGGATTCCCAGAATCGGAAGGGGAAGGGGAGATGGACTCGGAGGAGGAGGAGTGCTTCGAGACCAGGAACCGCAACAGGTGGAGAGAAGTGTTCGAGACATCGGAAGATGAAGGAAGTTCATTCCGGGGTTTTGCCTCCTCACCGCCGGTAGAGGAGGGGGCGAGAGGGGGTGACGGGGGCCCGGGCGGGGAGGTGGATGTCAGGGAACTGCCATCGGAAGGAAGGGAGGTGAAAGGACTCAGACAGGTTGGAAGAGACTCAGCAGCTGAAGAGGGAACCAGCAAGGGGAGAGAAGCTGAACTGAGGGAGGTGAAAGGGCTCAGACAGGTTGGAAGAGACTCAGCAGCTGAAGAGGAAACCAGCAGGGGAGAGAAGCTGAACTGAGGGAAAGGGAGCTGGGGGATGGCTCAGAGATACTTCCAGCGAAAACAGTGGTGAGGTTTCCGGACCTCCTGTAGGGACACCCACTCCTCGCCGGAAACTGTCACGCAGAGAGTCCAGAAGACGTGTTTCCGTTAAGGAGCTTTTATGTTGGAAGCGATTACGAAAGCAACCACTGTCGGAATCTTCTAGTGACTAGAGGAGCCATGTCAGAGGGGCTCCGTCACAGACAGAGGTTTGTGGACTTGAACAAACACTGAGGGAATACGATTTTACGCACAAGCAGCTCATCTTCCCATCACAATATGAAATGGCCTTTGCTTCTGATTATGAGTTACATTTTACTTAAAATGCTAGAGGCATAACAACCCTCTGGAGTGAAGTGATACGAAAATACCGGTACTTGTTTTCAAAGTACCTTTTGAGGTTTATCTCACTTGGTTTGCTGGAAATGTGCAAGTCCCCATTTTGCAAGTCACTGATATATACAGGGAGTGTGGCTGGATTTGTGAATATTAGCAAGGACACTCAGAAGTTCCTCTGGGCACAAATATTGAAGGATTAATGAACTTAAATGGGCAATAATGACATTTGCTGGTTAGTTTGGCTGCATACGTAGGGTTAAATTGCATTCTCAGGAAATGTGTCTGTTGCACATGCATGCGCTTCACTGTATGATCAGGCTACAACAGGTAGTTATTAAAACACAAACTTTTGGGATTCCCAAAAAGGGGGAAGGGAGGAAAAGAAGGAAGAAGGGAGCAGGAGCAGGAGGGGGGAAACTGGGAGTCCAATCTGGAGGGAACCACTGCCTCAGTCCTGGGCGTTGCCTCCCCTCCACTGGGTCTGCGCTCAACCCAGCCCAGCCCAGCTCCAGCCACTGCAGCCACTGCCAGCCCCTCACTGCCCGGCAGGTGGCTCCAGCAGAGGAGGGGACGGGGTGGGGAAAAGCGTTGGGAAGGAGGAGAGAGGCCAGGCAGGCAGGCAGGCCAGGCAACGTGATCCATGAATAGAGGAAACCACCAAAGCCCTTTTGACTCATGGAGTTGAGTTATCTATCCCTGTTCAATTTCAGGCTTCCTCATATTGCCCTGTAGGATACCCCCACTCATCTGACTCAATCAGCACACAAAGAGCATGATTCAGGCAGAGTTGTAATTGTAAACAAGTCTCTCTCTCTCTCTCTCTCTCTCTCTCTCTCTCTCTCTCTCTCTGTGTGTGTGTGTGCGCAATTGTAAACACTTATAGCAAAACTGTGTTGTGCAAAACTGTGTTTAAGTTGTCCCTAAGCTCTTAGCAAATCTTGACTGGCGTGCAGGTACTAAACTGACCATGAGCTAAAATCACTGTGAGGACTTTGCCTCATCTACCTGGGATTCTGACTCCCCATAACCTCTTCCGTGTTCCTATGGGGGTGTGCTCTAAACATCAGGAATGTGGTGACTTGGTCTACAGGGCTGCAATCTGATGCTTTAAAATTGAAATCTGGATTCTGCAGTTGCAATGCTTTTGTAAGAACCTAAGAGGAATCCTGCTCAACATTCTGTTCTCACAGTCGCCACCCAGATGCTTATGGGAAACCCACAAGCAAGGCATGAGCGGCACTCTTCTTCTTATGAAGCCCAGCAACTGCTTTCCAGAAGCATGGGGCCTCTGAGACTGGCCAGAACATATAGCCACTAATAGTGTTATCCTCTATGAATCTATCTAATCCCCTTTGGAAGCTGTACAACTTGGCGTCCATCACTACAGCTTGTGGCAGCATGTTCTATACTATAGCTTAATCATGTCCTTCATTCTGATATGCAGTTTTCATCCATTTGGCCAGGTTCACGATTATATTCATTTGGGCAGATGCACTATTTCCTACCGCAGCAACCTGTGACAAAAAGGAAAGCAAGACCTGTCAAGGCCTTGACACTGTTGTGTCACCTAAACTCACAAAGGTTCTCTCCATAGGTGCAAGAACTGGAAAATATGGTTCAAAAGCAGTTCTGGGCAGTCCAACTTTGAGCCATAAGAGCCATTACTTCAACACATTGCTGACTTTCTGAGAAGAGCATGGGAGGGTTCCAGACAGAGCCAGCTCAAGCCATTTTACAGCCTGAGGTAAAAGGCAAGATGAAATACAAGATGGCTCCCTCCATTCAACATACAGAAGCCAACCAGACTGGCAATTGAACCTTACTTCAACACTGAAGTGAGCAACAGTGTCCTCCACTGCATCTGATGGCAACAGGGCTAGCTTAGGGGTGCAGGTCAGGCCATATGGTGCACATAGCTCTGCCCTCCAAGACTTTGCCACCACTCCTTGCTCTCTCCCCTGCCCCCTCCCAGCATCTGCTGCCTGACTGGGCTGCCTCACTCTGCCTAATGGTAGGGCCAGACCAGGTTCCAGAGGGAAAAGATACCCACTTTCCTTAGAGTAGATTCTCCATTTCCAGTTAAGAGTTTCACTTTCTACCATTTTGCTAAATCCTCTGCATCCTAGGTAGTACAGGGAGAAGGAAGGACAGCATTTTTGTGTAAAATTAAAACATTGGCTTTGATCTGGAAAACATGCTTCCTCCTGGCAAAGGTTGTCTGAAATCCTGTTTATAGAACTGTTCTGCACAGCATCTGTCACATTTTTTCAAAACTACAAAATCTGACAGGAAACGCACTTAAACACACACAAACATAGGAGACAGAAATGACTTGAAGCTAATGTGACAGCAAGGATTGGACAGGTTTTTAATTGATCTTGACAGCCCTGACATCACTGCATGCCTGAAAGTCTGTGTTACTAATGGACTGAGTGGCAAGCAAAGTAGGTCATGAACCCTGGGGCTCTCCACTTGCGATAACAGAACACGCCCTTCCATGGGTAGAAACGTATATGTGAGCGTGTTTGTGTTTCAATATGTACACATATTGCAAACAAAAATATAAATTACGGATTGGATTCAGGCTAAGTTACTTTGATTGTTATTGAAATCAACAGGACTTAAAAGTCCTGACTTACAGTACTTGTCTCCGTTATTTCAAGGGGACCTAAGTTCAACTACCTCTGTCTGATTCCAAACCCATATATATATATATATATTAGTTAGTTTAAGAACAGAGTTAAGGCTATCTCACATTGGCTCAAGCATCAGAAGGCCAGAAAGCTTGAAGCCAAGGCTGATGGCTGATGCCTTAACACAGTGGTGTCCAAATTTTTTCCAAAGCGGGCCAGATTTGATGAAGTGAAGGGCCGTGAGGACCGACCAAAGTTGTTAACCTTTTTTGGGGGGATTGAAGTTGTTGTTGTTTTTTAGGATTTTACCCCAGGGTAAACTGCCACAGGGGCCAGATTAAACCAACCGGCGGGCCGGATTAGACCCCCAAAACGGACTTTGGACATGCCTGCCTTAACAGCAGTGCCCCATGGTCAGCAATGCTGTTGTGAAGTGTCACAAATTTCACTTGCTTACAACTTACCCATACTTTTGCTGGGTCTTTCAGGTCCAAACCCAGATGAGGAGGATGGAGTGCTCGGGACCAGCAAAGATTCCCCACACTGTCCTGGCCTTGTATTGCCTTATGAAGCACCTGAGCATTACTTTATTACTGGAGGAATTATCCAGTGGGTTGAACTATGTCTGTTTATTGCTTACCTTCTGGGGGGGGGGGGGACACCACACAAGCAAGTCATAAGCTGCACAATTGTGGTGTGAGAGTACAGTGGTACAGCTGCATCTTCTCTGAAGGTATCTGAATAATGATACCCTTGGATCAATGGATCCATGAGTGAGTGATTGGATCTCAGGCATCCAACCAAGCACAGCGTGGTCCACGCAGGTGCCTGCCCAATGGCGGACCTTGGCGTCTGTCTCAAATTTCAGTGGTGCCCTGTGCAATGCCAAAAGCCAGCACCCCCCACCTATTGCCTCCCATAGGACATCATGGTTGTGGTGCCTGCAGTTGCACACCAGAAGCTCTGCACCCGGTGTGACCGAACCCGTCGTGCTCCCCTAAATCCACCTTTGGATATTAGGTGTAGGGGCGCCAGTCAGCTGCTCACTCAACAGTTGGAACAAACAGCTCACATTTCCAGGTCAGTTTAGCAATCAGTCTCTCTTCCAAACTCTGGGGATTGCAGCTCTGTGGGTGGAAAAGAGGTCTCCTGACAACTTTCAGCACCACAAGCTATAGTTCCCAGGATTCTCTGGGTGAAGCTCAAAGTGGGATGATACTGCTTTAAATGTATAGTGCAAATGGGGCCCTGGACAGACCATAGGCCCATCTAATTCAATACTGTTGGCACAGACTGGGAGCAGTTTTCCAAGAAAGAGCCTTCCTAGCAGTATGCGGAGATGCTGGGAATTAAATGTGGCACCTTCTATGTGCAAAGCATGTGCTCTGCTGCTTGGGTATGGACCTCCCCCTACAGCCCTTTCTGCTCTTGTTAACTGGGTAGTGAAGAAAGTTTCCCAGGTCACTCACTTAACAACATCCTCCCTTACACGTCACTGAAGTAACAGAACTTAATTCCAGGTACCTGGGCTAGGACAAGGTTGTGAACAGTTAGTACTGTTGGCTATTACTACTGCACAAAAGAACATGCTTTATACTTCTTCCCAATGCCCCCAATGCTAATACCCAAATCTGCCATTTCCACTGACTTCAGTTTTCTCCTTCTTCTTCTTCTTCTTCTTCTTCTTCACCATCATCATCTCCAAAGCAGCATTAACAGGGTTGGAGTGCACAAAGGAGCGGCCAGCCACTAATGTTTTATGAAACTCATAAGCTTCTCTACCTAGGCTGATTACTTGAGTTGCTTATTAGTGTTGCACCTGCTATAAATGGTACTGATGGCAAATTAGATGGAAAAACATGCAAATACCTTGCTAGCTTTCTGGTAAATTAGCATGCAAATGGCATAAAGGTGAATATAGCTTTGAGGAGAAATGCACTAACATCATTTGACTAATTACTGAAGCAGGGAAATAAAAAAGAACATAGATTTTGGCGAGGGGATTCCAGTAAACATCAATCTACCGATGCATCTCACTTTCATCAGTTCATCAGATAATGCAAAGCAAACAGCTTGTGATTTGTTTTTTTGAAAAATGCTGGCGGTGATAGCCACCTGCAGCCTTTAGAGTCACTAAGGTTCCAGGAAACTTCAATTAATAGTTATTTACTTGCGGGTCCAGTCAGTTTTATTGCTTCCTGTTGATGCTGGCTTGGGTATTAATGATAAATGGTTGTGGGACCTTTGCTGAGCATCGAGGGAGGATCCTGGCCATAAGGAAGGACATTACTGGATAGCAATAAAGTGCTCTGTGGAATCTGGTTTAATTCTGCCTCTAGCTCCTTGTGGAAATACAATGCCTCAGCAGCCCTAAAGGTCTCTTCTGTGGAAGTAACTCAGTCAACTCTTCTGCTGCTCCAGAACAGAAGCTACTCCCCTCTACACACCCTGACCCTAACCCCATCTCCCTTCTGCCTAACATTAAAATTGATCTGAGTGCTCCCTTTAAAAAAAACCAAAGAAACAGGTCTTCCTCTCAGGAACATACTTCAATCAAAAACATATTCTAGACTACCTTTAGATTTTTGTCCACACAAAATATGCATACAATATTTACAAAAATCTAGAGCTGAAAAGATTTATCAGTCACAGAACAAGCATGAATCAGTCCTAGCAAGTGTTATTTTCTTCTAGAATATTGTTGCTGCTTATAACCTCATTTTCATTTATGAATTGCTCCCTATGAAGATTTTTGAAGCAATGTTTAAATAGGCTATGACCTTGTTATGGCTCTTGTGTGTTTAGCTTGCTTCACTACTGAACTATGGCTCTTCTCTTGTACGTTATACAGAACTAAGAATTATCCTTTTAAAACTCTTTTCCTTTCAATATCACCTTCAGGAGAAGGACTCCTTTATAGTTTTAGTATTGTCCCACTTACCTCCCCCTCCCCACCTTTAATATTTTTGATCAGTATGGCAGAAGAGGCATATTCCCCATTGGTAAAGAACCACATTAGTGTGTAGGAGATAATTCAAATGTCTTGGATATAAATTATATTCAGAAGTATAATGTGGAATGGCTGCTCCTGGACTGAACCACTTCAGACTCTAGGTGGGGTAAATTGCAGCTTGAATGCTCCCACCACATCAGGCATTGCTTGTCTTTGGAAGCTACCATTTGACGATTTGCTTTGTATTTAAATAGTGTACTATTGTTATGCCTGGCTAGGTTTTTTATTCATTTCATAACTGAGCAGACTGAACAACTGCACTTTGAAGTAAATTCAGTGCAACCTGTGCCTAGGTAAAGCTGTACAGAAATTTGGTGGTCAGATGATTCAAGGAACACATTTATGATGACACTCTATTCACCACAGCAAACAATTCACTTGAATTCCATTCTGGTTAATTTGCATATTTTATCTGCTCCATCTTGCCCTAAACTATTGACACATCCCCTTCCTCCAGTATTTAGATTTCCTTGACTCTGTGTCTAATACTGCACAGGGCTTTTCACCCTTTAGATCTTGCCATTTTCTCAGGGTCAATGCACTTATCATTTCAGGCTTGATAATTGTGATTATATTCCCCACAGGAGGTAAAAACAGAGAGATGCTTTGTCACACCAGCAACATCTACAAGAAGAAAAGCCTGCAAACTGAATCTAGACAATATTACCTAAAGGGCTTTGCATGATCCATTTGCTTTTCACTGATGATTTTTATATCATTCTCATTTAATAAATACAGTACAGTATTTGTCTTTTGCTCAGATCTTTGGTTTTTCTCCTCTCTTCATTTGAGTTCTTAATTTTAACATTGAATTAAATACTTTTATCTTGTGACAAATGATGATGAATATAAATCCTTAACATATATACACACAAACACATTTTTAAATTTTAGTTGGGATTTGGAACAGGGATTTGTTTATTTATATTTCCTTGTAGAAGTGTCCCTAGCACATTTTAAGACATGATTCAGATAAATTACAATCAAACAGAACCACTTGTAAATCATGGGGAGGGGACTTTCACAGAGAGGGACATAAATGTGTCCATGCTTCAGAGGAAATAGAATACATAGGTATTTAAGGGAAGCCAGAAATATGTTGACAGACAGGCAGAGCAACACCTCGTTGATAGGGGTATCAAAATCATTAGGGCACTTCTGTAATGCATAGGAACATTTACATTTGGCACTCATGCACTACAAGCAGGATGGGGAGAAATTTGATTCAGTTCACATTTAATGGCAAACCTAACTAATTTGCATTTCTTGAAATAATATACGAACTGAAACACAATCCTTCAAAACTCACACTGTTCTGAATTTTGCAATGCAGTTCCCCAGCCAAGTAATGTGTACCAAAAAAATTCACTTATTAGGTAAAGTTTGCATAAAATGCATATATTGGTGAAAATAACATTAAAAATGTTTATATATATATATATATATATATATATATATATATATATATATATGGAAGTTGCTTCGCAAAAAGCAACAATAAGCCTATTTTACATTTACACAAAATTGTGTTTATTAGGAGAAAGTTTCACCAAATGCTAATGAATTGTAATTAGGACTTGCAAAAGAAATTGTAAGCCGATGTGGAAATGTAGAGAAATGAATTTCAGATGGGGGGACAACTGAGAAATGAAAGGAACTCTAGATTGACAGATTTGCCCATCCCTAACTATAAGACATCCTGATCACTGGAAAAGTCTCTAAAACTGAAAGGTACAAATATATGTCCCTCTAGGTGCTGGCATTATTTTTTTGGGGGGGGGAGAGCTTTTAATTTGCCCCTTCTCTGCTTTCAACTCTTTCATCTTTGCCTGCTTCCTAATGGTGCATTTGACCCTTGCCTGTGTTTTCATGTTGTTGCTTAATACAGTGTTGTGAGGCCCTTGTGCGTGAGCAGTTAAATCTGATCTGGTTTCAGAGATCAAAGCTCATTCACAGGGCCCTTGTGACAAGGTGCTGTTTTTAAACATTCTGAATTGGCAGCCCAGATTCAAGAGTGTTCATAGCTAAGCATTTCTCTGAGTGCTTTATCATTAACGCAAGCTGCTATTCAGTCCACCACCACTCAAAACACTTTAGGGACGAAGCTCAGATCAAGCTCTCCATATGGTGTTTAAGAGTTCCTACAGCGTGACACAATTTCCTATGCTTCTACGCAGGAAGCAGTGCGCAAACCGTTCGCCTCCAACTATTATATACTTACCTGTTTCACTGCATGTACACATAGTGCTCACATTGCTGCTGGGATACAGGACCCAATTGTGGTTTTCCGTGGCAGATATGCCCAATAAAAGAGATGTGGGAGCATTCGTTACCAACATTGAGAGCTGCACCCGATGTGCATGCTATTTTCAATGCAGAAGTGGAGGAAATTTGCCAGATTTGTTGTGCCTGACAGTACTGAGGGAACCAGTGGCCACCTCCAGTTTGACCTACTACATACTGGTGGCAGGGCTGGCATCTGGAGTCAGTATTCTCCAGCACCTGCCAAGGCCTATTCTGTGGCAGGGGGTTCTCTGTCAACCGTTAGAATCTTCTGTTTCTTCTCTTAGCTGTTGATGACTTTTCACCTGTAGAATGTTGTTGTGACATCACCAGGCCTTGCCTTTGAGACTCTGGGATTGGGATGCTGACAGCTGTTAAATCACATGCTGTTGACCAGATAACCCTAGCACAGGGGTGAGAACCTTTTCAGGCTGAGGGCCACATTCCCTTCTCAGCAAGCTTCTGAGGGCCACAAGCCTATAATGGGAGGGAAAAGAAGCAAAAGTGGGCAGTGCAATGGGTGTAAATGTTACCTTCCAATACACACACACACACACACACACACACACACACACCTCTGTCCTCCATCCAAGCAAGCAAGGGTTATCATTAGAGTTCAGGAACACATTCCAGCCAGCCAAAAGCACTAGTATTGCAAAGCAGTGGCAGTGAGGGGTATGGACTGTGGAGAGTCCTGAGGGCCAGGCATAGAGGTTTGGAGGGCCACATTCAGCCCCCAAATACATGGTTCCCCATCCCTGTCCTAGAACGTAGTGGGAGGAGTGAGGACAGCCTTGTGAATTGGGCCCTGAAGAAGACAGCAAGCAAATGGGCCAGGACAGTGGTGACAGAAATGGCTATGGCAACTTGCCCAAGGCCAGGCCTCTCAAAATCTGGAGCCAGACCTGAGAAGTGGAACTGATAAATGGCATATGGGAAGAGTACCTCAGTGCCTCTGGAATATTCTAGCTGAAACTCTGCAGCATTAAACAGGGGAATATTCCTTTTTCGCCAAGCACTGACCACCTAATTTGTAATACCCTTTTTTATAACTGGAATGAGCAAGTTTCCCTTTTATTAACTCCCTAGACCTGCCATGTTTGCAGAGTCCAGATATATTTTCATGGCAATTCTTGGACCTGAACAAGTTTCTTGTCCCTCTGTTTACAGTTGGGGTACCCAATATAGTGCCCTCCAGACTACAATTCCCATCAGCCCCAACCAGCATGGCCAATGGTCAGGGAGGAGGGGAACTGTAGTCTAGAGGTAACCACACTGGCTGCCCTTGGGATATAGGATTGAATGCCATGACTTAAAATGATCTCTCTTAATAGGGAGGTTGCTCAATATTGAACTGCAGAGGCTGACATAAGTACTGAAGAATGATTTGTGGTCTGTTTCGGATGCTGGATTTTTCTTCCTATCACCTTTGTCTTTTTTCTGTCACTGTCTCAAGTTTCTCCTTTGGTTCACTGAAAAATAAATCTGTAAAGACAAGGCAGGGGGAGGCCACAAGGCAAAATAAACGGGGTCTATTGACTTAAAAGCCATCTCAATGAAAATGCGTCGAGTAATTTCTTAAGAAGCATCCTGGGAAGAAAACAGAAGTCAATACCATGCAGGGGAAAGTCAAATGTTGAGCAATCTCAAATGTATTTACCAATCAATAGCAAAAACCTTCAGCTCTAATATTTCACCCACTAAAAGAGCTGTTATTTCTGCAAGATGCCTTATTTCTTCTTCATCGCTCTGCTTGTCTTATGAGTCATATCAGTTTATATAGCATTACACATGCACCTTGAAGGTGGTTAGGGGATCCCATTATTCATTGTGTCACAGAGCATAAATTATATAAAAGAAATCATGTATGTTTTCTTTTAAAGGTCATTGAGTAAGAAAGCGATACCTATTGTGAAAAAGAAGTACACTTGAAAGAAAACAAAAACTTCCTTCAGCAAGCAACCCAAAAGTTCAAAAAGGAATTGAAGTATTAAGTAGCAGCGAAAGTCACAGCTGAGCAAGGTGGAAAAGTGTTGTCTTTCATTGATTCAGTGACTCAGAGCCAAAGTCAACAGCACATTAATACTAATTACTTAAAAGTGGTGGTTTCAGCTTTACATAATGCACCAAAAAACCCCTCATGACTTTCCAGTCTGCTGGTCCTTGAACCATCCTGTGCTTGGGCCCCATCCAATGTTGGCTAAGGAATGCAGATTTTGCTTGCAGATCTTCATCTTTCATAGACAACAAGGCCATCAACAATGAAACCCAATTCTGGGTCAGGTAAACCCACAGAAGTCAGTATGTAAAAAGAAATAGGTTATCACTAGGAATGGGGGTAAAATTTTGTTCAGTTTGCATTAAACTGCTAATTTTCGCTTCCCAAAAGACTATGCAAATGAAAATGCAGCTATCCTTTGATAATCACAATTCTCCATATTTTGCAGTACAGTTTCCCAGCAAAAAAACCCACCACCACAAATATGTCTATTAGAAGAAACAAAATTGCTGATAATTTTTGTGTGTGAGGACTTTCAAAAAGAAAGAAATTGTGAACTGGTGCAGAAATGTAGTGTACAGTGGAACCTCGGTTTTCAAACTTAATGCGGTCCAGAAGACCGTTCGGCTTCCAAACAAGTCTAAAACCGAGGATCAATGGGCTGGCTGCAAAGTCAATAGGAAAAAATGAAAAACACAGCTCAGAAGCTGTTCAGCTTCTGAAAATCGTTCAAAAACCAGAGCAGTTACTTCTGGGTTTTCGTCATTCAGGAGCTGAAATGTTCCAAAACGGAGGTGTTCTGGAACTGAGGTTTGACTGTACTAAACTAAAGATTAGGAGAAGGGAATGAGAAATTGGGAGAAACTGAATCTGACAGATTTTCCCATCCCTGGTGTTGATGCATGCATCAGCTCCATTATCAGCTTATAGGACTGGTGAAGGGTGACCCGAGATGTATGGGTGATGGAATTGGAATCCAATCTATCAAACCGACTGTACTTGTCTTCTGATAGGTGAAGCAGGTCCTAAACTCACTCCAGGCACATCTTCTGAGTGTATAGGGCTGTGTGTGAATTTCAGTGGTGTATCTGAATGAGGGTATTGAAAAACTCAACAGCACTGGCTTTTGTTGTTACTTACAATCAGCAACAATGTACGCATGCACACACACACACACAAAATTTGAAGCCACTGAGAAATACCATAGCTCATAAATCATATATTTCTAATAGCATTTCAGGGTGCTATTATATTTACTAGTTGTAAGAGCACTTCCAGAAACTAGAAATTAACTTTTCAAGGATTAGCATGCTTCAAATGTGATTTTGTGTCATTTTATCCCATTCATCAGTGCACCTGTGGTGAATTATGGCATCTCAACTTTCAGAAAAGTCAGTTTCTTCCGGGTGCATAGGGGTGGGGAAGGTAGACTCTGTAACAAGGGTTACATTGTG